TGTTTTTTTTTGTAATAATATTATTAAAACGCCCGATATTTAGTGGCACGAGTTAAAAAACAAAACAAAACAAAACAAATAAAAATAAATTAAGAAGCAGAGGCCAATCAGCGACATAAAGCTCCAGACATGGGCGTGGGCTGACAGTGGGGTCAGTGGGGTCCTGGGGCAGGGACAGCAGCGGGGGGAGGGCTCTCCACGGCTCCATCACTTGGCTGGCATCTTCTCTGCCAGGTGCTTCTGCTGGCTCTCAGCGTGCCTGGGGGGACACAGGGGACGTTATTCCCTGCTCCAGGGGGAGGTGGAGACCCGCAGCACGGTGTTTTCCTGGAGCAGGGGGTGTGTTCCCTGGAGATGGACGCACGGGAAGCAAAGCCCTTCGGGTTCTCTCCAAACCCTGCAGGGTTGGGGCTCTGCTGGGATTTTTGCCTCCTCTCCCACGGGGAAGCCCAACAACTGTGTGCCCAAAGGTGGCAAAAGGGACAGGCAGTGTCCCTAAATAACACTGGGATGAGGGCAACCACTGTCCCTAAATAACAATGGGATGGGGACAGGCAATGTCCCTAAATAACACAGGGATGGGGACAGGCAGTGTCCCTAAATAACACAGGGATGGGGACAGGCAGTGTCCCTGAATAACACAGGAATTGGGACAGTCAGTGCCCCTAATCCACCCCAAAATCCCTCCTGGGCCACCCTAAAAATGTTTTGTTTCGCCCTAAAAGTGTTTCGTCCCGAAAACGCTTTTTTTTCGCCTCAAAAATGCTTCGTTTTGCCCCAAAAATGCTTTTTTTCGCCTCAAAAATGCTTCGTTTTGCCCCAAAAATGCTTTTTTTTCGCCTCAAAAATGCTTCGTTTCGCCCTAAAAATGCTTCTTTTTTGCCTCAAAAATGCTTCGTTTTGCCCAAAAAATGTTTTGTTTCGCCCTAAGAATGTTTTGTTTCACCCTAAAAATGCTTTATTTCACCCCCAAAATGGTTTGTTTCTGCCCAAAAATGCTTCATTTCACCCCAATAATGTTTTATTTCACCTCAAAAATGTTTTGATTTACCCAAAAAATGCTTTGTTTCACCCCAAAAATGCTTCATTTCACCCCCAAAAATGCTTTGTTTCACTCCAAAAATGTTTTATTTCTGCCCAAAAATGTTTTCTTTCACCCCAAAAAGCTTCATTTTCCCATCCCAAAATGCTGCTTTTCACCCCAAAAATCCTTTAAAACTGACGTGCTTTTTTGAAGTGCTAAAATTGAAGTGCCATAGGGATGGGGACAGCCACTGACCCCAAAGAATGTTGGGATGGGGACAGCCAGTGACCCCAAACAACATGGGGATGGGGACAACCACTGACCCCAAAAACATGGGGATGGGGACAGGCATTGACCCCAAACACCCCGAGGAGCCTCCTTCACCTGGTGAGATCCTCGATGTCCACCAGCATGGCATCCTGCTCCGTGTGCAGCTCGTCCCGGATCAGCAGCAGCTGCACCAGCTCCTCGTTCAAGCCTGGAGATAAAAGGGGGGAGTTTGGGATGTCCTGGGAAACCCCAGTTTGGGGCCTGTACATCAACCTTCCCCACATCTACACAGCTTTTAAATCCCCCCCCCCCCAAGCTGTGCCAGGGCTGGACAGCCCTTTCCAGGAAGAATAAATGAATAAAAAAATCTAAAATAAATATAATAAATTATATTTATTAAAAGTATATAAATATATTATAAATATATATTATTAAAAATATTTAAATAAATATATTAAAATACATAAGAATAATATGTAAATATATACACAAGTATATAAGAATAAATATATGTGTATATGTGTATATTTAGTCATATATATTTATTCTTAGATATATTTGTCTGTATATATATTATGATTCATGCAATATATAATATAATATATAATATAATACATTATATTATATAATTACAATATATATTATATAATATAATTATTATAATTGAATTATATAATATAAAATTATATATTATGATCATAATAATGATATAATAATTATAATTATATGTTATAATTATTATATAATATACAATAATTATATATAGTATAATAATTATATAATATATAATTATATAATTTAATTATAAATTATTATAATTATATAATATAATTATATATAATATAATATATAATATATTATATAATAGTTAATAATATATTAATATATAAGAATAAATATATTTAAATATATTTATATTCATATAAACATATATACTCATACACACACACATACTCCTATGTATATTGTATTGTATAGTTATCAATATTTCTCTGTATATCCTGCAGAACTGTTCTTGATTAAACAGGATATGCCCCAAAATAAAGAATTCTCACTTACTTTCTATCTGTGAGTGCAGATCATTGACTATCACCTGTAGCTGCCCGATAGTCATGTCTCTTAGATCAGTGGGTTTCAAACTTCTCTTCATCAGGCATTCACTTATATGAGGCATGTGTGGCAGCTGCAAAGGAATTGTCAGTATTTTACTCTTTTCCTCCAACTGAAATTTCTTCAGCTCGTGTTTCTGAACCATTTCCATCCCCCTCTCACAGCAGCCCTCAACGACCGCAGCACAAAGTGAGCCCGACCTCCTCCATCACACTGGACCCAAGGCTTCGAGTCCAGCAGGAGCAGCAGTGTTGGATGGACTGGAGGTGAGGGTGATGGGGACAGAGCTGAAACAGGGCAGGAGTGCCCTGGGATCCCATCCCATCCCATCCCATCCCATCCCATCCCATCCCATCCCATCCCATCCCATCCCATCCCA